CATCACACTAAGTCACCCCAGTGTCTCCATCGAGTATCTCTCTCTCTCTGATTTCCCCCCCCCCCCAACCCGCAATACCCCAGCATCACCCCCCAGCGTCACTCTCCAGGCTCAGTCCACAACTTCACACCAGTGTCATCCCAGCATCACTCCATGGCATCACCCCAACTTGCTTGCCAAGTAAGCAAGGTTTGGGACAGCAGCTCCTAGCAGGGCTGTATAAGCTTTCAGACACCGATAATCGATTGTTAATCACCACCTTCCATCTGGTTTCCGAACCAGATGACAATGAGTTATGTGGGGAGTCTGTTCTGGAAACAATTTGTCTTTTCTCCAAACCTGCTGTGAGTTCAGAAATCCCACATCATGCTGCAGCAGAAATGGGGTATAGTGGTACGTTAGCGACCCCTGATTCAGGGAGCACAGGGGCTGCATAAAGTGCACACGCTGCAGCCTCCCTATTTCTTTGGAGTCTGGGATTGAAACTTGACCCAAAAGGCCACACACTGCCATACAGGCAGGTGCTAGGTTCACCCACTGATTATGTCAAATCCTGAATTGTTTTCACAATGGGCTTTAATTACAAAGAAAGTAGGCGACACGTTTCTCACTGGAGAGCCACAAGCTGTCCCCACTAGTTTGGCAAACAGCGCTCGCTCCGATCACACCGGTGATCTCAACTCTGCCATCCAGGCTGCACACACAGCTTTTCAGCATCTTGCTGTATCAGTACTGAAATTTGTGTGCTGTACCAGTACTGAAATTTGTGCTCCCCTATCTATTAGAAATTTTACTGAATGCTTTTGAGGACAGACTTCAATCAAAATATGCATGCCATTGTTGCTCATCCTTTGATCAAACTCCCCTTGCCGGACAGGCAGATCCAATCACCTGCTTGTAATTAGTCTTTTTTGTTGTTGTTGTTTACAGTCTGAAGCAGTGATTGAGCACCTGGTGAGGGGTGTGGCCAGCCCTGCCAGCACAGGTGGAAGCAATTTACCTGTGGGACCGGATAGGGCTGAGCTTGGCTCCACCCCTCCCTGCCCATATTTAAGGGCTGGGAACAGCAAGGGCAGCATTCTGCTTGGGAACTGCCTCCTTGGGAGTGTTGGGAGTGAGTTCTGCTCTTTGGAATGGGGTGAGTGATTGATGCTTTATTGTAGGGCTCTTGTTTTTCTGTTTTTGGGGATCCTGACTGCTTTTAAGGGCTGAAAGTTGTAAGGGTAGCATCTCTGTATGGAGACTGCTTCCTTTGGGGTGTGGGCTGAGTGTTTATTTTTGTAATGGGGTCATTGATTTCTTTTTTATTGGTGGATTGTAATTTCACTTTCTGGGGGGCTCCTGACCACATTTAAGGTCTGTCAGCAGAAAGAGCAGCAACTGCACCTGGAGACTACTTCCTTTAGAGTGTGGGGTGAACCCTTGAAACAGGGTGAGTGATTCTTTATTCCAGGGTTGCAATATCTTGTTTTTGGGAGGATCCTGACCCCACTTAAGGGCTGGCAGCCTTTAAGGTGGTATCTGTCTTTAGAGGCTGTCTCCTTGGGAGTGTGGGGTGAGGTCTGGTCCTTGAGAAAGGATGAGTGATTCCTTCTTATTTTAGGGTTGTGACCTTTCCCTTTTGTTTTTTTTTTGGGCATCCTGACCACATTTAAGTGCTGACAGATGTAAGGGTAATGTTGATCTCTGGAGACTGTCTCCTGTGGAGCAGGGGTGAGTTTTGGCCTTTGAGAAGGGTGTAAGTGGTTTCTTCTTCACTTCAGGGCTGCAATCTCCCCTTTTTTTTTTTTTTTTAAATTATATTTTTTTACTTTTTAGTATCCTGACCACTTTTAAGGGGTGGAAGCCATAAGGGCAGCATCTGTACCTGGAGACTACTTCCTTGGCAGTGTCAGCTGAGCGTTCATCTTTGGAATGGGGTAACTTTCTTTATTTCAGGGCTGTTATGCACTGCTTCCAACCATGCAGAGTTGTTTAAGGGCATTCTGTGCACCCTTAGGTGTAATAAATCTTCATCTTTATAGAAAGCCAAGGATTGTCCTCTTTTGGACTGCTGTACTCAGCATCACCCCAGATATCTCCATCCTAATTGTCTGGAGATGCTGTTAGTTTCCTAATCTGTATGACACCCAAATCCCAATTCCTCTTCCTCCCACCCCCTGGCCTGCATTCAATAGCTCTGCAGCTCTGGTCCCCAACAGCGTGATGAAGTGAAGCCCCTGGTCTGCTGAATACTGGGACTGGCCCAGAGAGGCTCTGTGACGGATGTGGATTATCCCAGCTGGAGTACCTGGTACCATTGGTGGTGATCTCGTCCAACTGCCACACAACGAACAGGAACATCCACAGCCAGATCAGGTCGCCCGGAGGCTGACCCAGCCTCACCTTGGAAGGGACAGGGCATCCATCACATGTCTGGGTAACCTGTTCCACTGTGTCACCACCCTCACTGTACAAGATTTTCTTTATATCTAGGCTAAATCTTTCCTTGTTCTTGCCTTCAAGTATTGAAAGGCTGTTACCAGATCACCTTGGAGCCTTCACTTCTCCAGGCTGAGCAGCTCCAGCTCTCTCTCTTTATAGGAAAGGCATTCCATCCCTCAGTTCATATTTGTGGCTGTTCTCTGGATGTGCTCCAACAGCTCCACATCTGTCCTGCACTGCGGACATCCACATCCAGACACAGCACCTCCAGGTGAGGTCTCACAGCGCAGAACAGAGGGGCAGGACCGCCTCCCTTCGCCTACTGACCACACATCTTTGAATGGAGCCCAGCATACGGTTGGCTTTCTGGGCCAGGAAGGTACACTGCTGAGTGCCCACTATTCAGCCTGTTGAGGTCCCTCTGGTGTGTCACCACACCCCACAGCTTGGTGTCATTAGGGTGCACTTGACCCCACTGTCAATGTCACTGATGAAGGGACAATTCCAGATGTTTGTACAAACTCAGCAAAGAACACCTTGAGAGCAGACCCACAGAGAAGGATTTGCAGATCCTGGTGGGTGAGAAGCTGGACACGAGCCAGCAGAGTGCGCTTGCAGCCTGGAAGGCCAGCTGTGTTCTGGACTGCATTAAAAGAGGAGCAGCCAGCAGGGAGAGGGAGGTGATCATCCCCATCTGCTCGGCTCTTGTGAGGCTTCATTTGCAGTGCTGCATCCAGGCCTGGGGCCCCCAGCACAGGAAGGACGTGGAGCTCATGGAGCAGGTCCAGAGGAGGTACTGAGATGATCAGATGGTTGGAGCAGCTCTCCTACAAGAAAAGGTTGAGGGAAGTGGGCTTGTTCAGCTTGGAGAAGAGAAGGCTTGGGGGAGAACTCATTGCAGCCTTCCAGTACTTGTAGGGAGTGTATAAGCAGGAAGGGAAACGGGTGTTTATGAGGGTGGATTGTGATAGGACAAGGGGAAATGGTTTTAAACTGAGACGGGAGGTTTAGGTTGGTTATTAGGAGGAAGCTTTTCATACAGAGGGTGGTGACGCACTGGAACATGCTTCAGAGTCAATTCCAGAGGGATCTGCTCCGTGATTTTTCCCAGCACGGAGATGAGACTGACATGTTGGCAGTTCCCAGGGTCATCCTTTCTATCTGTAATAACAGCTGTGCTGTCGCCTTTTTTCTGCTCACCAGGGACTTCACCTGACTGCCTCAACTTCTCAAATACCACTGACAGTGGCTCAGCGACTGCAGCACTGAATTCCCTCAGAAGTCTGGGACTCGTCTCATCAGGACCCAAAGACTCCTGGATGTTCAGGTCCTCAGGTGGTCCAGGACCTGATCTCCCATCACAGTGTGGGATTGGGGGGTGGGGGGGGTGGCATTGCTTCCACAATCCCCACCTACCAAACCAAAGG